GTTCTGGGCCGTGCAATGAGTGACTGGGGACCTCCCCAGGTCCCCCTCCCTCCCCCGAATCTCACAGGATAATCTCTCCTTGTCGCATGTTCATTTCCATCCAGTTCCCCCGCGCCGCCCTCTGACTGACAGTGGGAGAGTCACAGTGCCCATGGTCGTCTGCATTATCCTGGGGGCCCTGCTTGCCTGGTCTTAATCATCCTGGGGGCACAGGTGCGAAGTGCCAGGGCACAGCGCAGAGGTGGGTGCTGATTGGTGTCACTGTGTGAAATGCCTCTGAAATAACAGGGGGAGCTGTGTCTAAGGGGGGTGGGGTGTTGTCAGTGTAATGGAAGGTTAAGTTGTATTATACTGTTCGGCCACAAAGTGGCATTGCATGTAACAACTTATTTTAGCTATCCTCAGCCATGCCTGGCAGAGCATTAAGGGATCTTATTGTGAACAGATCTGATGAGTATTTCTCTGGGAAGGAAGCTCTGTAGCCATTCTATATCTGGTACAGAAATCTGACCTGCTAATAGCAGCCCTGCCACCTACCATATACAAGGTGTATGTGACCTGGTGCCCGAAATTAAGCAGTGCCAGAAGAGAAGAAAAAACAGAAGGAAGAGAGCAACAGAAGTTGCAGACAGAAGGAGGAGCAATGAAGGTTGCAGAGAGGGGGGAAAAAAAGCAACACAGGTTGCAGGATTTCATCAACATCTCTCTCTGCGTTGCCCCAGAGAACTTCAGCTTTCACAAACCTTCACAACTTCAGATTTCACAAACCTTCACAACTGAGAGACTAGAAGCAGCATTTTGCAAGATTTCAAATTGCTACAAAACTCCATAATGAAACTGAAGATATACAGGTATGGTGTTTACTTTGTGCTCTTTGGAAGCAAGCAGAGCATTTCTTTAAATCCTTTGATTTTCCTGAGGACAGTCACAAAGATGACTACGAAAGGGTTCTAGCTATGTTTGATGCATACTTTATACACTGGAAGCTCAAAGTTACAGAACTGACCAGTGAACCACATACCTCATTTGGAGCTGGAAGTACGCAACCAGGCAGCACCAGAGACCAAAAAAACACAAAAGCAAATATAGTACAATATTGTCTTAAATGTAAACAACTAAAAAAATTACAGGGAAAGGTTAAAAAAAAGATTTGACAAGGTAAGGAAACTGTTTCTGTGTTTCATTTAAATTAAGATGGTTAAAAGCAGTATTTTTCTTCTGAATAGTAAAGTTTCAAAGCTGTATTAAGTCAATGTTCAGTTGTAAACTTTTGAAAGAACAACTGTAACATTTTCTTCCGAGTTACGAATGTTTCAGTTATGAACAACCTCCATTCCAAGATGTTTGTAATTCTGAGGTTCTACTGTACCCTCAGAGAAATGTGGTTTATGAAAGGGAATGTTTTCATTAGAGAATTCAAGGACTAGGGGAAAATGTTGAATAATTTATAAGAGCTCTGCATGCCTTGGCTGAAAACTCTGATTCTGGAACAGCAAACATGAAAATATCAGAGAGAAGCTGGTTATTGGGTTAAACGATAAAGTCCTTCACAGCAACTACAATTAAAAACAGACTTCACCCTACACACTGCTATTCAAATGGCAAAGCAATCTAGCTGATGAGACAGCAAAACCCAGAGCAACTGGCCAAACAAGAATCTAGCTTAGAAGCTAGTAACAAACACAGCATGAGTGCGACAAGTTAATATTATAAAACTGGTGAGGTAAAGAGAGAGAACTCCTGGCTAAGAGGAACAAATTTTACTCAAACACTCAGGATATATTAAATGCACAAAATATGGGCATTTTGCAGGTTTTCTTTGCCACCTAAACGCAGTGATACGCAGTAAACACAAAAAGAACAGGAGTACTTGTGGTACCTTAGAGACTAACAAATTTATTAGAGCATAAGCTTTCGTGAGCTACAGCCCACTTCTTCGGATGCATATAGAGTGAAACATATATTGAGGAGATATATATACACACATCTATCTATCTATCTATCTGTCTATCTATATTTGTATATATATCTCCTCAATATTTGTTTCACTCTATATGCATCCGAAGAAGTCAGCTGTAGCCCACGAAAGCTTATGCTCTAATAAATTTGTTAGTCTCTAAGGTGCCACAAGTACTCCTGTTCTTTTTGCGGATACAGACTAACACAGCTGCTATTCTGAAACCTGGCAGTAAACACATTGATTTATATTACAGACAAACGAGCCATTGTTTCTGGGATCTATTATGTGTGATGATACAGAGCCTGAAAGTGATCATTCAGAGAAACAGTATTGACTTTAAAATTCATTTAGGAGCAGATGTAACAGTCATCTCAGAAGGGCCTTACAATTACCATCAATCCCTCCTAGAGCTGAAGTCACCTGACACAGCTGACTAGCCCTAGAGGCATTCTGAATTGCATGGGACAGTTCACCATAGAAATATCTTTCAAAGACAAAAACTTCTCATTCAGAATCCATGTGATCAAAGGATCAAAGAACAACAGCGTTCTCGACCTCAGTGTGGCAGCCATGATGGGCTTAATGAGAAAAGTAGAAGAACTTGGCAGGGGGATATTTGAAAGGAGACCCAGTACAAATAAACTCAAGATAAAATGCTGGAGCATACAGTGTACATCAGAAAGAACAATCAACGGAGCAAACAGATGGCAGATGCAGAACAAGAGGAAGAAAACTCAGAGATTCCAAACAGGCCTCAGGCAGTCATTGCAACTGATGGAAAGCCAGATGACCAAGTTGTTACTTGTTTGGGTTTGGTAATTAGAAAACTAGTACCACTGAGAGAAGTTAGGGCTTTTTCCCTCGCCCCTCTCTTGGTTCTTATCACGCAAACAGAAAGCAGAAGACCACAGTCCAAGTGTAGGCAATTCAATGTTTATTGGGGTTAATCAAGCAAGCATATCCATAGCTCTGTACGCCACATAGCTTTCCCTGTCCTTTTTCCCCACCTTCTTTTTCTTAGCAGGCTTAATTATACCTATAGTACACACCTTGGTCCCACCCTTTACAATTTATGGTCATGTTCCCTTTTGGAGGATCGTGAGTATGGACACCTTGGTACCGCCTTTTTGTACCCCATGGGAGGGTTAGGCGTAAGGTTATGTTTAAGCAAAGGTCACCTTTTCTCTGGCTTTTTAGTGTTTTTATGCTTCCCCATAACCCCACTTGACCCTCCCATCTGGTTGCTTGACCTTGCCTTTAGATAAGGGTCAAGGCAGTCTTCAAGTGTACACTGGTATATTAAACTCCCACCATACCCAGCAACACTTTAACTCTTTTCCTTATTTCTTTTCATTGTGCTATAAACCCCATCAAGAAGCAACACACAGTGTTTTCATTCTTTGTTCACACATATTAGTAGGGAGAATATATAAAAATGTCAAAAGTCAAACGCAAACTTTTATCCTAGGCTGAGAGACAGGCCTATATACTAAAAAGACACTTAATAGACTGATCTGTGCAAAACGACAAATATACAATGATAACCTAAATTTTGTAAATGGTAGGAATGTAGAACTCAAAAGGGGAAATGTAATGGAAGGCTAAACTGTATTATACTGTTCACCCACTAGGTGGCACTGTGTGTAACACACCTTGTTTAAACTAACTTCAGCCATACCTGTTAGAGTATTAAGGTATCTTATGGTGAACACATGTGGTGTGTACCTTTCTTGCAGGAAAGCTCTGTAGCCAGTCCAGATGACTGTAAATTGGGAGGAGTTGAGACTAGTGGGGACAACAGAGAAATAATACAAAGGGAAAATGCAATGGTCCCTTGCTCTCAAGTGGGGAGGGAGCCCACTCTGTCCCACTGTGTCAGACAGCAGCACACAGGCTTGGGTCCCACTAGCTGGGCCGATCTGTAAGCTGTCTAGAGCTCACAGCCTCCTGTCAGGGCTGCCGTCAATCAAGAGTCTAGGGCTCTGGCCCTCTAGGTGGGGTAGAGTATAAGCAGTTTTTAGTCTACACCATCCTGGCTGGGACAGCCAGCAGTTAATGGTTTATTAGGGAAGCTCTGGCCCTCTGGGCAGGGAAGAGTGGGGAGGAGGTGTTGCCTAAGCCTCTTGGCTAAGACAGCTAGCAAACACACAGTCTGGGGCTCTGGCTCTTTGGGTGGGGGCAAAGCAGGGAGCACCAAACAGTCTAGGGATTCAGGCCCTCAGGCAGGGCAGAGCACCATACAGACAGTTTTGATGTCCTGGCTCTGGCAGACAGCAGACCTCTTGGCTGAAGGTGGGAAGGCTGCCATCCCAAGAATGGGGTTGGCAGCAGGGGATGGGGGGACCTTGGCGCACCGTACTTCATTGTGTCGTAGCCCAGGGCCCTAATAGTGGCAGACTGTTCTGCCACTTGGTCAGCAGGGATCCAGCTAAAACATGTTGACTCAGATTTTGACAGTGAAACAGGACCAAAGTCCAGTTTCCTTGGGCTACTTCCTACCAGCGTCTGGGTGAGGCAGTCCATAGTGTCCGGGATCTTGGTCTCGTGGGGGTACAATAACTCCTCATTTAACGTCGTCCCGCTTAACATTGTTTCAATGTTACGTCCTTGCTCAATTAGGGAACATGCTCATTTAAAGTTGTGCAATGCTCCCTTATAACATTGTTTGGCTGCCTGCTTGTAAGATTCTGTGGAAGAGCAGCAACTTTACAAGGGAGCATTACACAAGTTCCGCTTCTCCGCCTCCTTCCCCTCCCTCCCAGTGCTCCCGCCACCGCCAGACAGCTGTTTGGCAGCGCTTAGGACTTTCTGGGAGGGAGGGGGAGGAGCAGGGAAGAGCTGCATCTCTACTCCTCCCCCTCCCTCCCAGAACGTCCTAAGCACCGCAAAACAGTCCTGGTGACGCTTAGGACTTTGTGGGGTTGAGGGGGGATGTGGCGTGCTCCGGAGAGGAGGTGGAGTGGGAGTGGGAAGAGGTGGGCCTGGAGTGGAGCGGAGACAGGAAGAGGCAGGCCTAGAGTATTCCGAGCAAAGTCCGAGCCTGTTCTTCTTCAGGGAAGCTGCCTCTGCTTCTGCAAAGGTGCTTCCTAGCGTCCTTGCCTGCAGTGGGCTGTGCCTGTGTGGGGTAAGCCAGGGGCACTTCCCAGCCACAGTACAGTACTGTACAGTATATAATGCCTTTTGTCTGCCACAAATAAATTTCTTTGGAACCTAACCCCCCACATTCCCATTAAAACTTATGGGAAAATTGGATTTGTTTAACATTGTTTCAATTAAAGTTGCATTTTTCAGGAACATAACTACAACGTTAAGTGAGGAGTTACTGTACTTGGCCGATGGCAGTCCTGGAAATTTCTCTCCAGGGTTGGTCTCTTTTGTGGACAGGATCCTGCCCAGTGTTGGTCCAGCTCCAGAGTTCTGCAGCAGGCTGGAGACAGGAAACAAAGGGTGGGAATAAATGGTAAATTTTCAGAATGGAGAGGGGTAAATAGTGGTGTTCCCCAAGGATTAGTCCTAGGACCAATCCTATTCAATTTATTAATAAATGATCTGGAGAAAGGGGTAAACAGTGAGGTGGCAAAGTTTGCAGTATATAAAATCATGAGTGGTGTGGAGAAAGTGAATAAGGAAATGTTATTTACTTGTTCCCATAATATAAGAACTAGGGGCCACAAAAAGAAATTAATGGGCAGCAGGTTTAAAACAAATAAAAGGATGTTCTTCTTCACGCAGCGCACAGTCAACCCGTGGAACTCCTTGCCTGAGGAGGTTGTGAAGGCCAGGACTATAACAGGGTTTAAAAGAGAACTAGATAAATTCATGGAGATTAAGTCCATTGCTGGCTATTAGCCAGGATGGGTAAGGAATGGTGTCCCTAGCCTCTGTCTGTCAGAGGGTGGAGATGGATGGCAGGAGAGAGATCACTTGATCATTAACTGTTAGGTTCAGTCCCTCTGGGGCACCTGGCATTGGCCACTGTTCGCAGACAGGATACTGGGTTGGATGGACCTTTGGTCTGCCCCACTATGGCCGTTCTTATGTTCTAACATTAGAAAGCTTCAGGTATAAAAAATCAGTTTGGAGGGCCCTTCTGCAGTGTTTTCTGCATTCCTCAGATTCTGAGTTTTCTTATACAAGAAAAACAAACAAACAAAAAATAACCAACCAGCCAAGACTTCGAACACAGTAGTTATAGCTATTTCCACTGTGCAGAGCTTCACAGTGTAACTGATGCTGCTAATCTGGTCACTTTACAGGAGACTGGCAGCAGTTCTTATGTTCCCTGGCTCCCACTCAAATGAGATGCAAGGCCCTCCCTTTATGCTTCCTGTCCTGTCGTGGTAATTCCGGTGAGGGGGGCAGGGCAATTTTGGCTCCACCCACCAGAGGGATTGTCGTGGTCCCTCACTCTCAAGTAGGGAGGCGGGCAACTCCGCCTCATTAGAGGAAATACTACAAAGGGTCTGCAAATATTGTTAGAAAAAGAACATGTTGAGATTCCATTTAGAAAAGTGCAAGAAAATCCATGTGAGGGAAAGATCCCTAATAGAGAGATACAGCAGGAGGGCGGGTACGAGGAAGGAGAAATGCTGCAAAAGAGCTTGGGTGATAATGGTGAAAGAGATCAGACAGTTCTACTAGGCATTTAGGGAATATCTAAACTGCAATGAGAGGTGTGATTGCTGCACATGTAGACATACCCGAGGTAGCTTTTACCTAGCTAGTAAAAGCTAGCTGGCATAACAACAGCACTGTAGTTGCGTCAGCATGGCTGTGATTTGGGCTAGCCACTGGAGTATGCACCCAGGCTCCTCGGGGAAGTTGTACATGGAAGGTTAGCCTGTGCTACTGTGTCTGCTGACACAGCTATATGCCTAACTAGATCTAAGCCAGCTCAGATGTGTTTATGCATCCTGCAATCACACCTCCAGATTGCAGGGTAGATGTACCCTTATATAAGAAAACAAGAATGGCCATGCTGGGTCAGACTAAATGTCCATATAGCCCACTATCCTGTATCCCGACAGCGGCCAATGTCAGGTGCTTCACAGGAAATTAACAGAACAGGTAATCATCAAGTGATCCATCCCCTGTCGCTCATTCCCACCTTCTGGCAAACCGAGGTTAAGGACACCATCCTTTCCCATCCTGGCTAATAGCCATTGATGGACCTATCCTCCATGAATTTATCTAGTTCTTTTTTGAGCCCTTTTATACTCTTGGCCTTCACAACATCCTCTGGCAAAGAATTCCATGAGTGTTGACTGTGTGTTGTGTGAAGAAATGCTTCCTTTTGTTTGTTTCAAACCTGCTGCCTATTAATTTCATTTGGTGACCCCCTAGTTCTTGTGTTATGAGAAGGAGTAAATAACACTTCCTTATTTACTTTCTCCAAACCAGTCATGATTTTATAGTTTCACATCCCCACTTAGCCGTCTCTTTTCCAAGCTGGAAAGTCCCAATTTTATTAATCTCTACTCATATGTCAGCTTTTCCATACCCCTAATCATTTTTGTTGCCCTTTTCTGAACTTTTTCCAACTCCAATATGTCTTTTTTTAGATGGGGTGACCATATCTGCACGCAGTATTCAAGATGTAGGCGTACCATGGATTTATATAGAGGCAATATAATATTTTCTGTCTTGTTATCTATCCCTTTCTTAATGATTACCAATATTTTGTTAGCTTTTTTGACTGCCACTGCACATTGAGTGGATGTTTTTAGAGAACTATCCACAATCACTCGAAGATCTCTTTCTTGAGTGGTAACAGCTAATTTAGGCCCCATCATTTTATATGTATATTTGGGATTATGTTTTCCAATGTTCATTACTTTGCGTTTATCAACATTGAATTTCATCTGCCATTGTGTTGCCCAGTCACCCAGTTTTGTGAGACCTCCATTGTATTTTTTGCAGTCTGCTTTGGACTTAACTGTCTCGAGTAGTTTTGTATAATTTGCCAGTTTTGCTACCTTACTGTTTATCTCTTGTTCCAGATCATTTATTAATATGTTGATCAACACTGGTCCCAATACAGATCCCTGGGAGTCACAACTATTTACCTCTCTCCATTCTGAAAACTGATAATTTATTTCTTCCCTTTGTTTCCTATCTTTTAACCAGTTACTGATCCATGAGAGGATCTTCCCCTTTATCCCATGACAGTTTACTTTTCTTAAGAACTTTTGGTAAGGGAGCTTGTCAAAGGCTTTCTGAATATCTAAGTATACTATATCCACTGGATCCCCCGTGTCCACATGCTTGTTGAACCCTCAGAGAATACTAGTAGATTGTTGAGGCATGATTTTTCTTTTCAAAAACCATGTTTACTATTCCCCCCAAATCATGTTCATCTATATATCTGATAATTCTGTTTTTACTGTAGTTTAATCTAATTTGCCTGGTTCTGTAAATTGGGTTACTGGCCTGTAATTGCCGGGATCACTTCTTGAGCCTTTTTTAAAAATTGGCATCACGTTAGCTATCCTCCAGCCATCTGGTACAGAAACTGATTTAAATGATAGGTTACATACCACAGTTAGTAATTCTGAAATTTCACATTTGAGTTCTTTCAGACTCTTGGGTGAATACTATCTGGTCCTGGTGACTTATTACTGTTTAGTTCATCAATTTGTTCCAAAAATTCCTCTGACACCTCAATCTGGGACAGTTCCTCAGATTTGTCACCTAAAAAGATATGTAGATAGTACTTTCCATTTTTAAAGCACAGCACAAATATTAGGTAATTGTTCCCCATACAGTCTATAGGCAGTACATATACAGGTACATATTTTGCCCATAGGTGTGAGTACCAGGATAGGAGAGGAGTGATTTTGGGTGGTACTAGGAGTAATAGGATAAATGTATGTAGGGACCATTAAGGCTGACTATTAAGATAAACTTAATGACAGTGAAAGAGCCAATAGAACAAACAGGAGAGGGATGTGGTCCCTGTCACCTGGAGCACTGAAATCTAAACTGGTCAGAGCAGTGGGAATGTGCTGTAGGGACCAGTCCTGCACTGGGCCCAGGGGGATGGGCTGGATGATCTCATAAGGTTTCCCATCCCTAGCTTCTCTGACCCTGTGCAAACCTTGCCCTTTGTTTTTAGGCTCCAGAAGATCCTTGGACCCTTTTTCTGAGGCCGTGTATGAGGAGATCGATTATAACCTGATGAGAAAGAAGCAGGAAATGTTTGATCGCTCAGGTCTGTGTGTGTCATTCCTAACAGGGAGAAAATCTCTAATGCACTCTGCAGTCTAAAGCTCTGACCTAGAGCTAAATCTCTGCAGCCTTCAAGCCTGTGAGTCCTGGATGGCTGCAGATGCTGGGTCTGTGAAGAGATCAGCCAGTTACTGGAATGAGATGAATGAGTTTCCTCCCTAGCAGACTCCGATCTGTACATCCTGCAGTCTTAGGGGGTAATTAGTTATGGGTCAGGAAAGTGACTGTTCAAATCATTTTGACTCAATGTCAATCAGTTGGGAAGATGCTGCTCTCAGTTTAGCACATTGTGGGGCACTATGAGCGTGGTCAGTACGTCTCCCTCAGGCTACTTCTGAGATGCACATTTTCCTCTCTACTAATGGTGGGGGTTGGTCACAGACTCTGATACTTGGAGGGGCGTGGCCTAATCTGGCAACAAGTTAGGGGAGGGGGAGTATCTTGCATAACAAAATGGGAGTCATGTCCGTGGCTGAGAAGGTCTGGACCAGCAGCCTCAGCCATAATTTTCTTCTGGATCAGGCCATGAAGTAGCAACATTCAGGAGGAGAAGATAAACATTCCTCTCTAAACAGATTCTTACACCTTGAGTGTGACTCAAAACAGGCTCCCCAGTTCATGAGAAGGATTTGAATGAAACCCACAGGAGGGGATCCCATGGTTAAATGCTCACTCAGTCCTTGCCTCACCTCATGAGGTCAATATGGCTGTTCCCAGCATCTTCCCAGTCTGATTTTATCCACCCCAAAGCCACATTTACCACAAAAAAAGGATATTTATCTTGGAAAGTTTGAGTAAGCCTCTCACCGCTCAGTCGCTGTGAATTCAACATCTTCTCTTCAAGGAGCAATATACTGAGACTATAAATCTTGCTCCAGGACCTGGATGCATTGCCCATCAGCCAGTTTCGCTACTCTCACTGTGATAACATCCCATTTATCATTTCTCCAGTCTCCTATTCAGATGACTCAGTGACGAAGCTGCAGTATTACACCGGGGACAGCGAGGGGGAAAATGATCCTGGATCAGAACAAGGTAACAAGGATGGGGGTGGATACAGAAACACATAAAAGATTTCCGTCCAACTCTTGATGGAAACGTGAATAAATCGTGACCCTTTCTGTGTGTGGTTGATGGTGCTCTCCCCCAGGGGAGGAGCTGTAGGGAACTGGGCAGAGAAATATTCACATGGTATGAAAGAATCTGACTTCCACAGCTGACACGTGTCACTCTACAACCCCTGATCTGTGCCCCATGATCTAAGCCCCTGCCTCCTTGGCATATAGCCCAATTCACGATCCAGTCCATATAAAGTAAGGACTTTAAACCATATCTTTATAGAGTTCAGCTGAATTCACAATGGTCAACTCTGGTGTGGCAGCTACTGTCTCCCAACTGGTCCAGGGTTCGCTCTATACCAGCATAGATCCTGATCTCATTGAAGGGCATGACAAAGTTGCTATTGGACACTGTGGGGCAGGGCTGGGCCCTAGTTATTTTTGAGGCAATAAAGGTGGCACAATTATTGTTTCACAGAATGTCCATGACTCTCCCTTTTCCCCTGGGTCACCCTGTGACTTCCCCTACAGACACTATGATGAACAGCCCAAACTCCAAGACAACAGGCCTTTAATGGGGAACTAAAACCTGCTGGGGAAATGGGTGTGTTCAGGGGAAGCTGAGTGTTTTGTTTGCTGTTCCAGAGGGAGCTTCCCCGGGGGGGTCTCAGTTGGATTACGATAACGTGGAGGAGCCTGCCTTGAACAAGGTCCCCCAGACTCCAGACAGTCGAGGTGAGCAGTGATGAATCTGCCTCCTGGAAGCCACATTACCCCTTAGCTACTGCTGCTCCACCCCCTTCATTCCCTAGTCTGCCCTTTGACCCTGAGCTCAGGGCTGGGAAGAATTAACCCAGACTAGCCTGGTTGGAGGCAGGGAGACGCATTGCACAATTAACAGCTTCCCTCATTGTGCCCTTAAGGAGCCATGTCTTCGGTTTTTTTTTTGTGTTTCCTGTTTACTTCCCCTCCAATAGCCTCCTTTGATTTTTCTCTGTGCAGTCTGGCAGGATAATATCAAACAGCTAAACAGAGGTGTATGTGGCATTCATAAGAAATAATACACATAACTCCCTCATTCGCCACACCTGGCATGTAGTTTATTTATCTATTCAGTGGAAAGGCTCTTCTCATTACCATTAATTCCCATCTTGATTTCAGAGGTCCCTGCCCTGCCTGGAGATGTCCCAGGGGACGGTTATGATGATGCCGGAGAAATTTCTGACCTTGAAGATGACCCTGGTTCTGGACCGAGTGCCCAGGAAGTCACTGGGGCCCATGAGGAAAGCGTCAGGAACAGGGATTCAGAGACAGGTCAGTGGTGTGTGGACAACTCACCTGGAAGAGCCTTTACTGGCCACTAGAGGTCACTGACACTGCACTGATATACAATTATTGGTAAACTACCAGCTATATCCCCACCCTGACCTCTACTAAATAGAGTTAAATGGACTTAAACCAAGAAAAAGAGAAGATTTCCTAGATAAGGTCCCTGATCCTACAAATACTAGATCCCATCTGTCACTCTACTCACATGAATAGTCTCACTGACTTCAGTGGGATTGTCCAAATCATCAAAGTTACAAGAGTCCATTGGCAGGATCGGGGCCAAAGTGCCTTTCCCCAAAGTGCCTTTCCCCATGTCAGTGTCCTGCACGGTAATGGAAAGAGCAGGTCCCTCGAGTGCGGTTAGTTAGTGGCCTGGCATCAGGTTTGAAATCACTCTCTTCAATGTTTAAATGTCCCCGTTAGCATAGGATCTGAGCTGGGGCCCAGGGCTGAGCTCCCACTTTGCACCTCAGGGGAAACTGGGTTGGAATGAAATGTGCATTTCTTTGGTCTTGCTGGGAATAACGTGCGAATGAGCATTGTGTGGGCAGGTGAGATCTGTTATGTTCAGGCAAGTCCCATGCGCTAGGGTCCCCACCCTGCTCCAGCCACCAGGTCTCTGCTGGCATGTGGTCCCTTAGGGACTATATTAGCTGTCAGGAGTTACAGCAGCCCCTAGTGACCTATCAGGGAGTTGTCACCAGCTCACTGCCATCCCCACACTTCTGCACCAGGGAGCTCTCAGTGTAACGCCGACAGAACGCGGTTTTCAGCAGGCAGGATCGAACCTGTGCCCTCTGGAGGTTAGTGCATGAGCCTCTACCACATGAGCTAAAAGCCAACTGGCTGGTAGCCCAGGCTGTAGAGCAGACTCATTTAACTGTCTCTCTAAGTGTTCTTGGTGCCACTAGCTGGGACAGAACACCACACCTAGAAGGTGTGTGGATTACATCAGAACAGAGAGAATCTGCTCCCACATATTTTCTTTGAAGAACAGAGAGAGATAATGGATTAAACTTGTCAAAGGCCCACTCAGAGGAACTGTGGGCGGGGGCTGTTTCACAGCCTATGCTGTATGTTGCCCATCCATTATGTGAGTGCACATGGGTGGAGAATGGATACATTGACTGTAATGTGACCTCCTTGCTATTTTCAGGCTGGAGTCTGCACTCCCTAAGAAGTGAAGGGGCCTCTGGGGCTGAGAGTGACGTCCTGTCCCCACCTCCTCGTGACCCGGGTTATGATGACGTTGATGATGGCGTCTCTGGGACATCAATATAAGAACGACTGAGTTCAGATCAAATATCCTATGAGGATGTAAATGCTGTATGGTTAGACTCTTCCTGTCCCAAATGCTCATTGACCCGTGGGGGCATCGGAGACAATCCCTGCCTGGGAATTACTTCAATCAGCTTTTTTATTTCAGTTTTGTTTAGATGCAAGAAATAAGTGTGACTGAGACAGGGGCTGCGATTTCCCCTCTAATTTCCCATTGATCAGAACTTCTCTGCTTTTTTGTTCCTAACATTTCTTCTTTGTGAATTTTTGCTTTTTCTTATTAAACCTTTTTTGAAGATCTGTTCCAGGGCTGATGTTTCTCTCATGAGGTCTGTTGGGTGGCTCCATGGGGACCAGCAGGGAGAGATATGGAGACTGAATCACCCAAAAGTAATAATGTTAAAGTGTCACTTCTCAGGTATCATCGACTCCAGGATGGGCACTGCACTGAGAGTGAATGTTTTATCAGGGGTGTGGTAACAGTGAGAAACCCAGCAACAAAATATTCCTAACGCCAGAGAGGGCCCTAACGCCCAATCCAGACTCTTCTCTGAAATCCAGGAGGATAAATGGGAGGTTATTTTTACACACACACACACACACACACACACACACACTAAGACAGTGACAAGAGGCCCCTAATCTCTTCTCTGCCCTACAAATTCTGATACTATGCCCGTCACTGTGGCATCAGAGCATCGTATAGGGATGCAGGAAGTGGCATGATTTTCTTTCATCACATGTGGGTTGTTCTCCATCCTTCCCCCTGGGGAAAAAGTGCGTATGGATTCTTATGGAGGGTTATGGGGGTTTATTTGCAGTTTTATTTTATGACATGCTGTGAGCTTATGCTACTGAAGGCAGATTTAAGAAGTTCACTTTCAAGTGGAATAGAAAGAGGTTTCAGGTGGTTTTGTGATCCTGTGGGAGTTGGGTCCAGAGAAAAAATTGGAACTATCTGTCCTGGTTCTCTTTCTAAAAGATACCCTTTAGTTCAACCAAAACTATGGGCTTGATGTAGGAATTACTGTGTGAAATCTGTGTCATTCAGGAGGTCAGATGAGATGATCATAATGGTCCCTTCTAAGTTTTGAAAGTCAAATATGAATCTCTGTTGTGAGATAACATAGCTAGATAACATCTAATTGTTTGAACCTTTGGACTTCGGGTATTAAAAAAAAAAATACTCTGTTCATGCGAGAAGGACCAGGGAAGTGAGCAGGTGAAGGAATAAGCCCTCTAACATCTTGGTGCCGTTACTTGGATGCATTGCATCAGATAGGTGAGTAGCAGCCTGTAAGTCCCCCTCCCCAACAGTCAGCGCAGCTGCTTGGAGGGGATATAGCGAACTCTCCTGATGGTAGTTGCGGGTTCTGGCAAGCCAGGGTAAAGGATTTTTTGATCAATGGATAAGGAAGAACCAGGGCCCATACCAGGTGCAGGAGTCAGCCTGGGATGAGATTAAAAAGGAAATGGAGGAAGTGTTAGGGGACCCAGAGGGATGGGGGGTGGCTGAGGAGCCCACCCTCCTTTGGTATATGGGTAGTGGAAGAAGGTCCCTGCCCATTGGGACTAAATGCCTTCCAGGGAAAGGAGGCAATTCAGTCCACTTGTGAGAGGTTTGAAGTAAGGGCAGCATTATGTGAAGCTGCCAGTAAGTGACGAACAGCTGAGGCTAACAGAGGGAGTTTGCCTGGGATCTGTCCGAGAGGAGGTACACTAAGTGCTGCATTGCGGGGGCTGTGTTGGTGAGTATCTGAGTGTCTGTTGCGGGGATAGTTTGTCAGTTTGACCATGTGCTTGATTGTTTGTTTGAAAACTGTGGACTGCGAGTGCTTTGTTCCAGGTGGGCGTTGAGTGGGCCTGACTGTTATAAAAAGGCAGTCAGCCACGAACCAGCTGAGCGGTGAGGCAGCGGAGGCTAACAGAGGGAGTACGCCTGGGGAGAGCCCACTGAGGCTTTCATCTTACGGGCTTCTGTGAGTTACTGCAACAGCTGAGGAAGCTCTTAAAAGGAAGGTAATATGGAAGGTGAGTGTTCAGCTGTTGTAACTTGCACAGGTTTTGCCATGTTTGTCTTTCTTCCACAGGACAGAAGTGACTTTGTCTGTACAAAGTGCAAGATGGTCTCCATATTGGAAGAGAAGGTTCGAGGTCTGGAGAAACAAGTATCGACCCTTCGTTGCATAAGAGAAAATGAAGATTTCCTGGACAGACGTCAGGATATGCTTCTATGGGCACAACGTTCTGAAGAGTCGGAGCAGGCTGCACAGAGGGGACAGAGGGATGGTGAAGAAATATGGCAGCATGTGACCTCCAGAAGAAGAAAGAGGAGTGTCCATGTACCAGCAATGGAGATACAGGTGAGCAACCGTTTTCATGTTCTCTCCACAGGTACTAATGCGGAGAGTGGACTAGATGATACATCTGAGGGAAGGGAGCAGAAGGAGACTCCACCGATTGGAAGGCATGAGATGCACTGTCCTAGGGATGGGGGTTCCATGACCACCGCTCCCAAGAGAAGGAGGCGGGTGGTGGTGGTTGGGGACTCCCTCCACAGGGGGACTGAGTTATCTATCTGCCGTCCTGACCGAGAAAAGTGAGAGGTCTGCTGCTTGCCAGGAGCTAGGCTTCATGATGTGATGGACAGACTGCTGAGACTCATCAAGCCCTCAGATCGCTATCCTTTCCTGTTTCTCCACGTGGGCACCAATGATACTGCCAAGAATGACCTTGAGCAGATCATTGCAGACTACATGGCTCTGGGAAGAAGGATAAAGGAATTGGAGGCGCAAGTGGTGGTCTCGTCCATTCTCCCTGTGCAGGGAAAAGGCCTGGATAGAGACTGTCGAATCGTGGAAGTCAACGAATGGCTACGCAGGTGGTGTCGGAGAGAAGGCTTTGGATTCTTTGACCATGGGATGGTGTTCCAAGAAGGAGGAGTGCTAGGCAGAGACGGACTCCACCTAACGAAGAGAGGGAAGAGCATCTTCGCAAGCAGGCTGGCTAACCTAGTGAGGAGGGCTTTAAACTAGGTTCACCAGGGAAAGGAGACCAAAGCCCTGAGGTAAGTGGGGAAATGGGATACCAGGAGGAAGCACGAGCAGGAGAGTGCAAGAGGGGAGGACTCCTGTCTCAGACTGAGAAAGCAGGTCAATCAGCGAGTTATCTTAAGTGCCTATACACAAATGCAAGAAGCTGGGAAATAAGCAGGGAGAACTGGAAGTCCTGGCACAGTCAAGGAACTATGATGTGATTGGAATAACAGAGACTTGATGGGATAACTCACATGACTGGAGTACTGTCATGGATGGCTATAAACTGTTCAGGAAGGACAGGCAGGGCAGAAAAGGTGGGGTAGTTGCATTGTATGTAAGAGAGGAATATGACTGCTCAGAGCTCCGGTATGAAACTGCAGAAAAACCTGAGTCTCTGGATTAAGTTTAGAAGTATGAGCAACAAGGGTGATGTCGTGGTGGGAGTCTGCTATAGACCACCAGACCAGGGGGATGAGGTGGACAAGGCTTTCTTCCAGCAACTAACAGAAGTTACTAGATCGTAGGCTCTGGTTCTCATGGGAGACTTTAATCACCCTGTTATCTGCTGGGAGAGCAATACAGCGGTGCACAGATAATCCAGGAAGTTTTTGGAAAGTGTAGGGGACAATTTCCTTGTGCAAGTGCTGGAGGAACCAGCTAGGGGCAGAGCTCTTCTAAACCTGCTGCTCACAAACCAGGAAGAATTAGTAGGGGAAGCAAAAGTGAATGGGAACCTGGGAGGCAGTGACCATGAGATGGTCACGTTCAGGATCCTGACACAAGGAAGAAAGGAGAGCAGCAGAATACGGACCCTGGACTTCAGAAAAGCAGACTTTGACTCCCTCAGGGAACTGATGGGCAGGATCCCCTGGGAGAATAACATGAGGGGGAAAGGAGTCCAGGAGAGCTGGTTGTATTTTAAAGAATCCTTATTGAAGTTGCAGGAAAAAAACAGCATGATGTGTAGAAAGAATAGTAAATATGGCAGGAGACAAGTTTGGCTTAACAGTGAAATCCTTGCTGATCTTAAATGCAAAAAGAAGCTACAAGAAGTTGAAGATTGGACAAATGACCAGGGAGGAGTATAAAAATATTGCTCAGGCGTGCAGGAGTGAAATCAGGAAGGCCAAATCATACTTGGAGTTGCAGTTAGCAAGAGATGTTAAGAGTAACAAGAAGGGTTTCTTCAAGTATGTTAGCAACAAGAAGAAAGTCAAGGAAAGTGTAGACCCCTTACTGACTGAGGGAAGCAACCTAGTGACAGGGGATGTGGAAAAAGCTAATGTACTCAATGTTTTTTTTGTCTCTATCTTCACAAACAAGGTCAGCTCCCAGACTCCTGCACTGGGCAGCACAGTATGGGGAGGAGGTGACCAGCCCTCTGTGGAGAAAGAAGTGGTTCGGGACTATTTAGAAAAACTGGACGAGCACAAGTCCATGAAGCCGGATGAACTGCATCCGAGGGTGCTAAAGGAGTTGGTGCAGAGCCTTGGCCATTATCTTTGAAAACTCATGGCGATCGGGGGAGGTCCCGGATGACTGGAAAAAGGCTAATGTAGTGCCCATCTTTAAAAAAGGGAAGAAAGAGGATCCGGGGAACTACAGGCCAGTCAGCCTCACCTCAGTCCCTGGAAAAAATCATGGAGCAGGTCCTCAAGAAATCCATTCTGAAGCACTTAGAGGAGAGGAAAGTGATCAGGAACAGTCAGCATGGATTCACCAAGGGCAAGTCATGCCTGACTAACCTAATTGCCTTCTATGATGAGATAACTGGGTCTGTGGATGAGGGGAAATCAGTGGATGTGTTATTCCTTGACTTTAGCAAAGCTTTTGATACAGTCTCCCACAGTATTCTTGCCGGTAAGTTAAAGAAGTATGGGCTGGATGAATGGACTATAAGGTGGATAGAAAGCTGGCTAGATCGTCGGGCTCAACGGGTAGTGATCAATGGCTCCATGTCTAGTTGGCAGCTGGTTTCAAGCAGAGTGCCCCAAGAGTCCATCCTGGGGCCGGTTTTGTTCAATATCTTAATTAATGATCTGGAGGATGGCGTGGACTGCACCGTTAGCAAGTTTGCAGGTGACACTAAACTGGGAGGAGTGGTAGATAAGCTGGAGGGTATGGATAGGATACAGAGGGACCTAGACAAATTAGAGGATTGGGCCAAAAGAAACCTGATGAGGTTCAACAAGGACAAGTGCAGAGTCCTGCACTTAGGACAGAAGAATCCCATTCACTGTTACAGACTAGGGACTGAATGGCTAGGCAGCAGTTCTGCAGAAAAGTACCTAGGGGTTACAGTGGACGAGAAACTGGATATGAGTCAACTGTGTGCCCTTGTTGCCAAGAAGGCTAACAGCATTTTGGGCTTTATAAGTACGGGCATTGCCAGCAGATCGAGGGACGTGATCATTCCCCTCTATTCGATATTGGTGAGGCCTCATC